TTCACAGTGTGATTTTCTTAACCTTTATCTTTCTTACGTGAGAAGTGTCTGGACAAGGCCTCACCTCCCTTGCTCTCTACCTTCCCTCCCGCCCTGTTGTGCTGCTACAGTGTAGAATTTCGGTTCTACCTTGTTAGATAGATTCTGCTTTTGTTTTCTGTAGTCTTTTATTCTTTTGAAGCAAAAGCAAATGCTAACTGATCTCTTATCTCTATTTTATTGTGTTTTGACACAGGGTATTGTGTATCCCAGGCTGGCCTTGAACTCCTGATCTACCTGCTCCTGCTTTCTGAGCACAGGGACTATAGGTGTATACCACCATGAATTTGGGGGATTCTGAGGCTCCAACTCAAGGCTTCATCACAGCACACAAACATTCTGCAAAATAATTCATGTTCTTAACCTTGACTTTTTTTTCTCTTTGTTGTTGTGTTTTGCTTTTTTGAGACAGGTTTTCTCAGTGTAACCAGTCCTGGTTGTCCTGGGCTCATTTTTTTGTAGACTAGGGTGGTCTCAAACTCACAGAGATTCACCTGCCTCTGCTGGGATTAAAGGCATGTGTGCCACCACACCCCCACTAACTTTATTCACTTGATTTGCAAGTGAATTATTTTATGCATATGAACATTTGTCTAAATGTATGTCTGTGTACCATGGGTGTGCAATACTTTGAGAGGCCAGAAAACATTGGACCCCTTAGACCTGGAGTTACAGATGGTTGTGAGCCTCCATGCACATGCTAGGAATTGAACCCTGGGAGATCAGCTAGCGCTCTTGACCTCTACAGACCCAGGCTCTGATGTTTTATGTCTTTTGTGATGACTTGCACTTGAGTCTAGTCTGACTGGAATACTGCCTTCAGTAGTGACTGCAAGGTTGACTTTGGATGGTGTGTTTTAAGAGCTTTTAAATGTCTGAGTATCTACTTTGTTCTTACTCATTTTTGTTGAGTGACAGTCCAGGAATCAAGTTCTTGATTTGTATTTAATTACTCTTGTCCGAATGCATGAGGAGCCTGGCACCATGTGGGTCCTCACAGGTCTGTGGTTCTCTCAGGCTCTCCCTTCCCTCTTACCTGGTACCCTAAGCTGCCTTTGGGGTGATGTCTTGTCCCTCAGGAGCTCTTTGCTTGCTGCAAACCTTTATTTTCCCATAGTTTCCACAGGCTGCTGCCTCTTGGCCAGGTCCTTGTGACATAGTATAATATTAACAAAACAGATTTATTGATACCCTCAGGCTTGGAGTAAAGGAGGAAGAGGCAGGGGATTGTACTTCTGAGGCTCCCCTCTGTGCTGGGAAACTTTAGGTTGAGGCTAACCTCATGAAATTCTCAAAGCTCCAGCTGTGTGTGGGGCAGGGGTGGGGGCGAGGTTTCCCCTATGGGTGGGGCTTCTCCCAAGGTTGTTTTCCCTTGTGGTCTACTTCTCCTGTCTGTCCAAGTGTCCAAGCCTGAGTGTCTGGGAGAGTATTTGTGATGTGGAGGTATCTAATGCCACCTCTTGGTTAATCTTCATGGCACCCAACTACTGCTTTGTCACAGATGCCTCCACAAAGACCCATGAGCCAAAAATAAGGCTTATCTCTTTAGTAGTCAAGATCTGGGACCAGAAGTCCCTGGTGGCACTACTGTACACTCTGCTCTGTCCTTGACTGAGTCCCAAACCACTGATGTCTCCACTTCCTGCAGGAAGGTGGGAGGCACAGAAATTAGCACAGCAGGGGACCAGGTCTCAGACCAAGCACATGTTTTTGCCAGTAGAGGAATAAACCAGAACATTACTTAACACACATAGCACATAGTGGTTCTCAGTAAGAGGCTGGGTACTGAGCTTAGGTGGGGAGGGGGACATAGTAGAAGGACTCATTCCCGTGTACCACACGTCAGGGCCCGAATGAGGGCCAAGAGGACTATGGGAACTCAGTCTGGAACATGAAAGAATCATGGGAAGAACCACAAGGAACACAGGCCAGAGAGATGAAAACATGGCTTTGAGATGTTAGGATGAGGGATGAGGACCCTGGGGATTTGGCTTTGCGGACACATGGTGTGTCGTTGCTGGGTGGGCTCTAGCAAGCAAGGTTTCAGATGACGAGGGCTCTGAGATGACAAGGGCTTGTGGGCTGCCTGCTTATCTTTCAGGAAGTTGCTTCTGTCATGAGAAGGGAAACCAAGTAGAGTTACTTCTCTATGAAGAGACCTGAGGGTCTGGGACAGCTTAGTTGGTGCCCAACTAAGCCTAGCAACCAAATGAGTACTTGAAGAGAAGTAGAACCCATCTACCTAATTCACAGCTGGGGACTGAGATCCAAGGACCAAGAATAAGACATCTTTGTGGAGTTGGAAGGCCTTGGTAGCACCTGCTGTATACCTGGATCTGCCGTTGGCTGAGCCTTAAGACATTAGACATCTCTATTTCCTTTAGGGAGGTGGATAGGACAGAAATTAGCCTCCTGGGCTTTGTCCCATTGCTGTCCTTTGCTGGAACAAAACTTGTGTTACTACACAGGGTATAACGGCCAACATGACCACTTTGCAGTATGGGAGGAGATTTTGTATATATTACACCTTGAGGGTGATGGATGCTTGCCAGCAGCAGCCATGTGCACCGAGCAGGCTTGAGGGCCTGAGAATGTCAGCTGTGCTCTGACTATTCCGAGGCCTCCCACGCCTGCGTTCTTTCGCCTTTCCCAGTCACTGTTTGGATCCAGCTGGTGGTGCTAAGTATAAAGGACTGGGCTAGAGTCATCCGGGCCCATCGTTGCAGGGTGGGGGAGTCAAGATTTTCTAGATACGGACATGGCAGTGTCTCCCAGATCTGTAGAGGGTTGGTGGCCTCCAGATGCTGAGGAGTTGGGCTGCTGACAGAGAGAAAGAGAGCACTAAATGACAGCAGACACTGCAAGCCATTGTAAAGGAAAAGGGACAGTTGGGTACTGCTGGCTCTTTACCTCAAATACTGACTTCCTGTTCATGAATACATCATCTTATAAATTAAATATACTGGATCCTGACCTGTCTATTAAACAGATTTCCCAGTTGTTTGTAGTTCCTCATCGTTCATTTTTTTTTTTTTTTTTTTTTTTTTTTTTTTTTTTTTT